GGTCCGAAATTTGTTATAAATTAGTAATTTTTTTAGATAGATCATTTTCTAGTTTGTAAGTTAGTTAATCATATAAGTTTATATTTAAAAAATAAAGTTGATAAATTTTCAAGGAGGAAAGAGGGGGAACAGGAACACATTTTTTTTTTAAATTATAGAACGTAGGATGTTAATAAAGTTTCTTTCTCACCTTGAACTTCTTAATATTGTATTATATTTTCTATGATTGTAGCTTTCATGTGATATATNTTATATTTTCTATGATTGTAGCTTTCATGTGATATATTATTATTTGATTATTGACAGTTATTACAAAATTTAGGTACTTTCAAAGATTACAAACATTTAAAAATTAAAAATACACATTATATCAAAAACAAGAACTAATAGGACAATCTTCGGAATAAGCGGCCCCGAAATACTCAGAAAAACATCCCTACAATAGACAATTTTTTTTTTGTGTTGGTAGAATTGTTGCAAAATCATGACAATAAAACAGAGTTGCATGTTTTTCAAATTTTTTTTAATCCTGTATTAATTTTTTTTTTTTATTGATTAGTGATTATTTTATAGAATCTACAACCACAGGACTTGTTTATTTTTATTTTGTTTAATATTCTTGAATTATTACATCAAAGCACATATTGTTAATTTACAGTACCGTAAAATAGGATAACTTTGATTATGGGGACAAACTTTGAAAATGCAGTTTTTATTTAAAATCAATTTTTCTAATCAATGCGAACGTTTACTAATTTGTTTTTTATTTACATGGCTTTTTAATTCATGAAGTGTGCTATCTAATGATATACATCGAAAATATATTCTTATTAATTAGATGCGAATGTTTACAGTTACAAAATGTACTAAGTATATTGTACTTATAAAAACAAAAATTACCTACATTAAAATTAAGATGTGCGTTAACTACAAACACCACCAAAATTGGTAAATAATTATATACATATCCCTTAGTAGTATCATTAATATTGCAAAAAAAAAAACACTAAAATTTATTTTGGTCAAAATAGTGTACATGTATTATTGCTATTGGGTAACTTTAATACTACAATTGGTGTAACTTTTAATTACCACAAAGGTACCCTAGTGAATTTAATGTGAAAATACCTCATGTTATTGTTTAAGTATAGTAATGTTAAAACATACCCTTGATAATCTAGTAAATAATTACTATATTTAGTTTTATATTATCAATCAACTATTTTATGTAAAAAATTATGAGGAAAAAAAGATTTTTTGTTAATTAAGTTTATTTAAGTTTACGAATGATATTTAGCATGGTCAAGTTGAAAAATTAATTAAATAGTTGTTAAAATAAATAAATTGGTAATATTGATCATTAGATAAATTGTTCAGCTATTATATATAATACATGAAGTAAGATATATTTGATCCAAACGTTAAAAAAATAATCTAGTAGGATACAAAATAAATAATATGAAAAAACAGTAAAAAATGATTAAAGTTATCCCATTTTAAGATATTACTGTTTTTTTTTTAACTTTTATTGAGATATTAGCTACTCTTGCGTTCAAATATCTTTATTAGTACAAATCATTAAATTGCCGATTAAAATATTGTAATTTCACGGGAAAAATATTAATTAAAAATATTAATTACTATTTTTATTCACATTATTTTATTAAGCGGTATCGTTTCTAATCATAAAATTACATAGCGTACAGTTAATAATTATTTATGATTGTAATTTTTGGTACTAACTGTAACTCTATGATTACAATAATATCCTTGACAACAAGCAGTGATATGTTTTTATTGTTTTTCTTTTATTTAAGCACCAAATTCATTATGCAAAGGCGTGATATAATATTTATTTTTAATCTACATGTAAATTTGAATTTGATGTGATGCATCATACTAGAATAAATAAACAACTATAGTGTATTATACGAAATGTCTTCAGAAAATAACGGGAATTTTTAAATTTCGCGGGTTTGGAAAGTGATTATCAAAAAAAATTTGTCATAATTTTAGTACACATGTGTCAGAAGTATGACAAAATTTTCAACCGGATTCATTTTTTACTCTGTCAGTGGCAGTTAAAAAAATGAAATAAAGTGTAGTAAAATGTGTGATATGTTAACAAGGCCTATGGTGAGTCTGCCATAGGCACGTAGACATGGGTGGGCCTAGCCCCCGTTATATTTAATGTGACCCAGAGCCGGCCCCTCAAATTTAAAATTCATTTATTTTTACGAATTATCAAAAACGTGCTAGGCCTNAATTTAAAATTCAATTATT